AAGTTAGATGTGCCACGTCGATCCGTTGTCTGATCGAGCTCAACTTTTACACAATTTTTTTCACCAAATGGAACTTTAGAGGGCGTCGTGAAAAAAAATTCAAAAGTTAAAAATAAGGTCTATTCTAATGTATGTACACATGGCATGTATGTACAGAAGTGTGCAAATATTAAACGTTAATTACATTTACAACTGGAGAACCGAAAAATGATCGATGACGTTTCTTAAATATAATTTATTTCATTTTGATGTAAAAATAAAAATTTTTCTTAATCAATATAGAAACAAACATAAAAACATTTTTATTACATAATTATCCTGCCTCCGCTCGACGGTTTGAGTAAAGATACCCAGTTTGATTTTATTGACCGTATATGTGAGCGCGTATACTTGGCATAAAACGTATAACATATACATATATGTAGTATTATTATATGTATAGTTATATACACATATGTATATAATTATATCATAATTTAATTTATAATATTTATATGTATATAATAATCTGATAATTTAATTTATAATTTATAATATAATAATTTAATGTAAATTTATAATTATTTGTTTTGATAATTCACATATCCGGCGTTTAATCTACTTATTAATTCATGATTCATTTTACTTAAACATATTATAGGTTTTACGGAATTTTTTAATAGAATAATAGCTTTCCATAATTATATATTTATATAATTTTATAATTATAAGGAAGGTCGAGGCTATTTGAAACCCGGGGCAACCATTCGAGATATAGCAAGGGTTCCGAATTGCCCCGAGTTCCGAATAGTCCCGTCCTCTCCTAATCTTTTAATATGTAGCTTTTAATAGCTTATTTTTATAATTTAACCTGACGACGCTGAGTGACGCTGACGATGTACTAGTAGACGAAATTATAATGCAGTTCCTTTTTTATTTCGATTGATCCATCAAAACCTACATAAGACTGTAATGTAATGTATGCCGTAAGACAAAATTTAATTTCAACGAAATTTATATCTCTCTCAATCTGGAAGAATACGTCATTTGCACTAAAAATGATCCAATTGGAATCGAAACGTTTGCTGTGTTAAAACAGTAAATTTTATTTACAAAATACATAATTTATAAACATAAACACCTTGCTTAGGCTTTCATGCTCCCTTGACCTTCTATTTTAAAAATATTAATAATTAAAAAAAATCGATTTGTCTTTAATCAATCTCCTCTAGAGATGTCATATTAACGTTTTTCAGAAAAAGAGTTGGTTTCTTGCCGAGATGTCTTATGGCTTTTAGTTCTTTGCGGTTTCGCCATCAATTACATGCTGCGATTAAACTTGAATCTTACCATTGTTGCGATGGTGATACCACATCCGAAACCCGCAGCAATCGCACAGTGCAATATGGAAGTGGAGAACAGTACGTCAATTGTTGATGTTTGGAACAACGAGACATCGCGAGATGACAACACTTCTTTTTCATTCCCGACGACACTGTCTTTCGAAAACGAAAGTGTTACGGTATCCCGAAAATAACTTTTTTAAAGAGACACTATTTTTTTGCGAATAAAATTTATAATTGTATCTTCCGCGTACGATACTAATTTTATTTTTGCTTGAAAGAAAGCGCTTTCCTCTTCGACATTTTCTTACTTTTCACGGTTTTGTTTAGTATGAAAATCGATTTGCCTGGAACGAATACGAGCAAGGACTGACGTTGGGTGCATACTACTGGTTGCACTGGACATCGCAACTGCCTGGTGGTGTCATAGCCAGGCGATATGGTACGAAACTCGTATTCGGCTTAGCAAATCTCTTAACAGCTCTCTTAGGGTTTTTAATACCCTATGCAACGCATTTATACGTCTTGATAACTCTTCGGGTGGTGCAAGGATTGATCGCAGTAAGTTTTTTTGCAAAAAGCTCCCTTCAGGAACAAGCTCCAATTAATTTATTTTTGAAGTTTGCTCATCGTATGTCTGTAGATATAAATTTTTCTCTTTTTCTTTTCGCTTCAGGGTGTTATATGGCCCTCGATGCACGTCATGACGGCAAAGTGGATTCCGCAAAATGAGAGGAGCAAATTCGTTAGCGCTTATCTTGGTAAGTTATTATAGGTATGCAATTGCTGCGATTGCAAAACCGAGATACAATTGGCAAGCGAATGAACTTTGAACCGAACCTTTCATCTCCATCGGGATCATCAATTTCATCTGATGTAATTTTCAGGTAGTTCTGTGGGAGCCGCGATTACTTATCCCCTCTGTGCAGCCGTTAGTAATTCCTTCGGTTGGGGCGCATCCTTCCACGTGACATCTTTGTTAGGCGTAGTTTGGTGAGTGAACGTAAATTCGCGATGACATTTTGCGCGTCTGATTCCTAATAGAGAATTGATTTATCGCGAATTACATCGTAGGTATTGCTTCTGGCACTTCTTTGTATACGATTCGCCGCAACAGCACCCGCGAATCTCCGACGATGAGAAGAATTACATTTTCGATAATATCACTGGATCCGAGGACGAGAAAGAGACCCAGATACCATGGAGATCGATAATTCTATCGGGTCCGATGTGGATTACCATCGTCGCACATTGGGGCGCAGCTTGGGGTTTCTTCACCCTCATGACACAGGCACCGACTTACTTCAACTTCATTCACGGATGGAATATTAACGCCGTAAGTTTCCTGTGTGCGAGCTTAAGTCTGCACGTAAGAAAATCCAGTTATGAATGAATTTACGTTGAATCTTTTGGGTATCTTACTAGCTTCATCCTGTATTGCAGGCCTTAATCTAACAATAAGTTCCAATTATCTATACAGACCGGAGTACTGGCGGGAGCGCCGCATTTGCTCAGAATGATCTTTTCGTATTTCTTCTCGATGATGAGCGATTGGCTGCTCCGTACGAGACGAATGAGCTTGACAAACGTAAGGAAATTAGCCACTTTCGTTTGCACCGGTGTACAAGGGATCCTTATCATTGCTCTCGGATTCAGCGGGTGTCACCCGTTGCTAGCAGTCGTCTTCATGATGGCCGGTACGGCAGTGAATGGTGCCATGTCCGCCTCCACTTTGGCGATCTTTGTTGACCTGAGTCCTAACTTCGCCAGCGTCCTTCTTGGATTCGCCGGTACGATTATCATATGGGCCGGATTCATCTCACCGGCCATCGTTGGCGCATTGACGAATAATAACGTAAGTCTAATTTTCAATTTACAAATATCAACTGCATTATCTTAAAATTATTGTGAATCAAGATCCTTATTAATTTCTTCGCGATAATGTTGAATCGATTTTTTTTCACAGCAAACTGTGGGACAGTGGCGCTTGGTCTTCCTCATCGCTGCTGCTAATTCGATAGTTAGCAGTATCATATACCTGATGTTTGGTACTTCAAAAGAACAATCGTGGAATCAGTATGCTAAACTAAATATGAAGGAACGAAAGATGCAGGAGCTGGCCCCGATGGCCGTGAAACGTGACAATGACGCTGAGAATGCAGATGATACTGAAAAATCGAATTTTATTAGAGAAAGATAATAAAGAAATTTGGTTTTTAAGCATTTTTAACCCTTTAGTTACTATGAGTCACTAACAGGTTTCCGTTAGTCAATTCTTTGAAACGCGCGCCATTATAATTATGGCGCCTTCCACTAAATGTCTTTTAAAACAAAATGTAAATTACATTGACTGATCCTTTTTGTACTACAATATTTTGTCATTTTCTGATACAAATGACTTTAATTGTTTTCATTTGTTTCATGAAACGAATGTTCGACAGCATTACACGTACAATAATTGCTAAGAATTCGGCATAGTCCGCATAGTTCATTATACATATAAATTGTCGCGTTCTCAGAATTTAGTTGCTTTGACCGCTTTGACCTCATCCATTATCATGGAATAAAATCGATTTCCAAAGCAGAAGATTGATCGCCGCTAACGAGCTGTGTTTCATATAGCAACGACAGTTAAGTTACGCTGGGGCTTGGCGCGCTTATGTTTTGCACTTAGCTCTGATATGTATTCGTTTTTTTTTTGTTAATAAAATTGGAGTTTCTTTTAATGGCGTATTCTTATTCGTGGGGAAGAGGGATAAAGTAACCAAACTCTAAGAATGCAACAATATAGTTAAGAAATAAAAAAATTTTTTAAAACTCGTTTTAAAGAATAAAACACAATTTGTAAAGGTCCACTAGAAAAATTTTTTTTTATTAAAGTGGAATATTTTAAGAGTATTTACCTTAAAGTTTTAGCAAAAAAAAAAAAAATGAAAAAGTTATAATTTTTTCGCAAAATATAATCTTTTTGATACTTATTTTCTTTATTAAGAATTTTTTTCAACGTGATGCCATTTTAATTCTAAATTCTTTATAATCAACAGAGCAACCAAAAATATGCTATAACAATCCCGTTTTGAGCGCCTAAAATATGCTCTATAAAGTTGAAAAAATACTCTAAAAAAAGAAATATATGCATTTAAAAGTTACTTTTTATTGCAAAAATTTTCAAATATTACTTAAGTTTTTTATAATAACGAAGTAGAAATATATTTGATAAAATTTGTTTGCATTTTTATTTTTAAATTTAATTAGTAATTATGTCAGAAAAAACTAATCGTAAACCTAAATCAGAAAACAATGTGAAATATACAACAAAAATAAGTAAAATATGTAAATATTATGCATGCGTGGATAAAATATGCAAAAATATATGCTATAGGGCTCAAAATACATAATTTCTGATGAAACGAATTTTTATATCTATAGTTTATTTCTTTATTAGTCAAATAAAAAAAATATGCCCTAAGCATATTTTGGTTGCCCTGATAATCAACTATTTAAAATTGGTCTGGATCAAATTGATCCAGTGTAACTTCGAAAAAAGCGGTGTAACGAAGATTAAAAAAAAATGTTTCAGACAAAATTTGTGACGCTGCCTCAGATTCCCCACATTAGAAATAGCTCCTAGTTTAATCTTTCATAACGTGACTAAAAAGTAAAATATTGAAATAAAAAAATGCATTTTCTCGGAGATGATAAATACAATTTATGATCTTTGATCGAATTTCAAGATACCGCTGACCTTCTTTACAAAAAAATGTCAAATATCGCTCAAAAAGTCATTTTTTTTACATTAAACCTCATTATCTTAGAAACTTGACGTGCTGAAGAAATTTAGTTTGTGGCATTCAAAAAATTATAAGAAACGTAGTCCAGACGTCCAATTTAAAGTAATAAAAAAAAAAACATTTTTGTAAACTAGTGTTATTTTTTCTTGACATAACAGATACATACTTTTGAAATACATAATGAAGTAAAGCTTGATGCAAGCCAACACAGATGTTGATATGCAATAATTTTATTGTTGCAATATCCAGTCTCTCACAAACTGTACGCCTTGCCTGCGAGGCTTATATGTATTTCTGATTTATTTTGGGAAGTCTAATTTCTTTCAATTTAAATTTATTTGACATACTTTTAAATTGGTATAAACGTATTATTATTATTATTATTAAACTTTTTATTTCGGATAGGACGGAGTGTTTATTTTTAAAATCTTACAGCTTTCCTTGAATAAGATATTATAATTTTTGAAAATAAATTAAAATATGACTAGAGTATTTTACTATGATCCCGTCCAAAATGTCGATGTTTAAAAACCGCTAGATATTTTGATTTGTTAAAGAATTTTTAAATTTGCTAAATTCAAAAATTTAATATTAAAAATTTAACATAGCAGATGTAATAGGACGGTATAATTGATAAAATAGAAAAATGTTCATAAAAAAAATTATTTTGATGTTAAATTCAAATAGCTATAAATATATTTTGAAAATTCTAAATAATAAATATATTCTAAATATAAGATATTAATGATACATTCAATATGCCAAATATAAATGTGAAAAATGGCGTAAATTTAAAAAAATAAGGAGTTCATGGAAAATTCAATCATATTTTTAGAAAATTTTAAATAAAAGATTTTAAATTTTAAGTGATTTAAAGTGATGAATATAACAACTTAACAATTAAAATAGATGAATTTTTGTAAAACGGAGATTTAAATCATTTTTTATGTTGAATTCAAATAGATATACATATTGTAAATTTTAAAAATTCTAAATGTATTTTATGTTTTTATAAATGTATCTGATATGTGTTATTATACATTATATGTAATTATATTCAATATAAATATAATTACAAAAAATAAATAAAATTTGAAAATAATAAGAGGTTCGAAGATTTGTAAATCCTATCAAATTATAATAATAAAAATAATTATAATAATTAATAATTTTAGAAATTCAGCATTTAAAATGGAAAATTCAAAATCGAATCTAAAACTAAAGAAATAAGTAGATTCATGTTTTTATAATATGTAGGTAACATAAGATTTGCTGTAAATACGATACATGTAAAAAGCGTTATGAAAAAACTATAAATTGATTTTACATTTTTGTTTTTTCGTTTTTTAAATTTTAGTCTGATAGAACAAGTACTAAAAGCATAGAAATTACGGGTTTAAACATGAAAAATAGAACAGCGTCATAATTGCCGGCTTTCCATTCTGTAAAGATTAATTAATTTTTTACACCGACTGTGTTGTCAATATTGAATTATGTTCCGCGGCCGAGTTGTATGTAAAATAATTTAGCAATACAACTTTATGTTCATTTTCAAGATCAAATGGCTTCTAGCTGCAATCAAAAGATTAAAGTGTCTTTATAAAAAGCTATAACTTCGATATGTGCAAATAGTACGAAGACTCATGATAGTTTAATGGACTCTTCGAAGGGTATAACATTATAATATTTAACAAAGAGAATGTTAACGATTAATCGTATATTTGATAATTACACAATTGCATAATTTATGCAATGTCTTGGAACATTTCATCACAAGGAAACAAAGGAATGAAGGTGTGACATTACAGTATAAATAAATGCTAAAATATTTGTGATACGCTAAGACGTATTATGACTTAGATGCATTTCCGATCGCTATACACGGCGCTCCACAAATAAAATTCATGTACATCTAATTTCTTACGCTAATAACGCATTATACTATTCCGTCTTCACATGTGCGCAATAAATGCAGTAAATTACGGCGCACAAGTCTCAGTAATAGAATCTACGGGCGGCGAATCTCTATCGTATAGCCGACATCAGGTCCATCTTACACGAAAGTATTACCGGAATTATCACAGCTCCTTTTCTGCTGTGAAATGCTTCACAGCAGAAAAGATTAAATACCACGCCTTATCCTACTTTTCGGACACGCACCGTGCAGCTACCTTGAGATATTCATCATTCGAGGATATCCTTCGAGTCATTGCTATCATTCCGCGTAAATAAAAGTGTGCAGTGAGCCAAATGGTCGAGATATTTATTTTCATAAACTACTGTAGCGACGATAAATGTATAGACATTTCGCATGTTAAATTCAATAGTAACGTTGTTATGCGTATCGCGAGATTTTTGTATCTTATAATTATAATTAAATCTTGTGAACCGATTGAAGATTGTGATATCGATTTTCCTTGATGTCACTGTAATGACTTCTCAAATATGTATCTACCTTAACATTTAATTTCGGATTAATGAAGATTTTATTTTTAGACTTCGATAGCACTATTCAACAAAAAAATGACTTTTTCGTGGAAAAACAAAGATAATCTCGTTTTCTGTCAATTTTTGAGCGCTACTTATGATTCTGTTTACTAAATTGCTCTATCACTTCATAATTTTGAGAAATTTGTGATTAAAATTGCAAATGTTCTATTTTAGTGTATTTGGTATGTTGAATTACGACTAGTAATATTGCAAATGTTTTATTGTAATAAAAAACAGGTATGGTATTAGGATTTTCCTTACAAAAAAATTTGCGTCAATTATGGATAAAAAGATATTTAATTAAAGGATAGGATTATTTATACAGAATAGGATAGGAATTATAGGCTTTATTGTATCAAAATTGTGACATTATAATTATGTTATTCAAATTTAAGGGTTTCTTAGATTGTTGAATATTATCTGAATATAATCTTCGTAAAGATCAATAAATTTAAATTGATGAACCTTCATATTATTTACAAATTTAAACGTTTTTTAATTTTGATATCCGCTATATTGATTCTGCCATTTTAAATTTATTAACTTTGATATCGGAGCTAATTATCAATGGCTTAAAAAACCTTGAGGTAGAATAATATAATTAAAAAATATCTGATAGATTCCTGATATATTCGCATTTTTGTTTTAAAAGTATTAGTAATAAAACGTAAAATAAAAGCATTAGTAATAAAAGTGTTTTAAAAGTATTATAGTAATAAAACAACTAAAAAACATGATTTTCGAGTTATTAATATATAAGTTAAGTAAATATTATCCTTATCAATCGTCAAAAGTGTACTAACTTAATTTTATAGATATCAAAATTGTCACAACCTAAAAAGTTTTTTTAAAGGTGAAACGAAAATGATAAAAATTATATTTGATCATGTTTTCAAAAATATTTCATTTGCTGATGTTATTTGATCAGTCAATAATTTTGTCAAGCTGAAAAATAGTTTCTGCCTTTTTCTGAAACAAATAATTTTTAAGTGTATTAATTTTAAAGCCAAGTTTAAGGGTGCGATATGTATGTCACAACTTTGACGCAATAGACTTTACATTAATCTTAGTTTAATTAAACTTTACATAAATATGTTTTAGCGTAACATACATATGTAATAAATTCCTTTTATGAGCTAAAACATCTTAATTTTGATTGCAATAAAACTTTTTAAACACATCACATATCGTAGATCTAATATGTCAAAGTAGCACATTAGAAGCTTTTTTGCAATTTTACCACAAATTTCTCAAAATGGTGATGTAATAGAGTAATTTGGTAAACAAGATCGTTCAACGTTTAAAAAATTATGGGAAACGAATATTTCCGTTTTTATGTACCCTTTAAACAATGTAATAAACTTTTGCTTTTCTCGGAAGACTGATTTGCATGACGCATAAACAAATGCAAACCACATATTTTCTGGAAGCCACAACAATGCGACGTTCTAATATTTTTAATGATAGACAATAAATAATTTAATATACATATACTTAAATATAGCAAAGTAAAATGCATATTTTGTTAATATTGGTACAATATTTTTCATATTTTTTAATATGAAAATATATCAAAATAAAAACTCTAAAGATTAATAAAATATTGATTTCTCTTGAAAAAAAAAAAAAAAAAGAAAAATGCCAAAATATCAATGTTAATTTCAACATACTACATTATAAATTAAATATTTTTCTAGTTCTTGCTATATTACATTTTGAATGTTTTTAGATATTTAAAAGTTGCATTGGATACTCAAAACTTCAAGCTAATAATCATGTGAGTAATTTGAAAGATCATCAAATTATAACTTACGCTATTCATCAAGTTGACATTCAAGTTGACAATGACATAGAAATAATTTTCCCTTATAAAATACGAACTAAGTAATCACGTGAAATAATTTATAAATTATATTAGCTATCTATGATAATATATAATCTAATAAGTAGCAAATATAAATACATGTAGAAAACACAGTTATGCGACTAGTATCGAAAGCGCGTAATAATAACGCAAATACAAATGCGCAATTGGAAGTTCGAAGCTCCTAAGTTTCGATTGATATGACAAAGAAAAATTTCATAATAAACATATACTAATATTAGGCCTAAAATAGGAATCTGTCGTCATAGATAAATCAATCTAAAAATTCTATTAATATAAATTCGCGCGCGCGCGCCCACTCCGACTTAAATATATATTATATATATTACTTTTTATTTATACATATATAAATTCTATATAATTTATGTATCTGTATGTGTGTACATACAATTATTCTTTATGTTTGATAAAATTTTAAATGTGTGCTTCTACGCAACAAGTGACTTTTGTCGTTTATATTGATTTTAGGTCTTTTTACCATTCAATGTTGATTAACGTTCCCTGTTACACACGTAAATAAAATAGCTTTTCAAAACAGATTTTACATGTATATCGATAAAGTTTCCTTAAATTCACGTATACATTTATTTAGCTGAAATCAATTGTAATTTTTTTATAGTTTTTACGTTATTCTTGATTTTTGCTCAAGATCTCTTCCATCATTAACACGTATACATATATTATATATATTTTTTTCTATCTTTTTTAGGTCCATGTTTAAATGTGATATTTAGACATTAAATTTGTGTGTACTACCCTGTAAAATGTAAAGTCTTTAATTATTAAAAAAAAATAATATGCAATTACCAATGCAATTTTATCTAGAAGTACAGAAAATTCATCTCGAAAATTGTTTGCAGACAGCATCCGGATTTTTTTAAAAGGGCAGTGAATTTAACAAGTATGAACACATTGGCACATTGTAATAGAAACCTTTGTTGCGCGTCTCGCAGCGTGTAATCTAGGACTTCAGAAAAATGTATGTTGTTCATTGATCCTCGTAGATGTGTACCGTGCGAATATAGAATGCATATATATATATATGTATCAGTTGAAAACGTCAATATATACTCTGGTAAACATTTAATAATTACTCAGCGATATACTGTAACGACAATTTCATTTCGATTTGATAAATACTGTTAAGTGTACTTTCAGTTCCGGTTGCGTCTACCATACCTACCACTAGAACAGTTTATAATTTGTCTAACTGGTATCTCGTTTGGACCTGGTGCAATGTCTAATCATCCTAATCATAGCAAGTACGAATGTAACGGTAGCACTATTAGATTAAGTTTAGATAGTTACTATTTAAATTCATTACCTATCTAGAGAATGATCCTTTAAAGCGTCATTAGTCTTTGTTGCCTCTGATTGTTTGGTGTTCAAAGTCGAACGTATATCGCTCATTTGCTCCAACAATAACTTGATTCAAAAATTGTAATTTTTAAGTCATCCGCGAAGAAAAGGGAATTCTGGATGAGAATTGAACGAAAAGCTAATAATACTTTCCTTTACAATAAGTAGACCAAATTGTAATACCAAAATTACATTAAAAAATATTGACACAAAATTTTAACACAGATTTCTATATGTGTGAATTTTTATGATTTAAAACATTTAAACTAAAAAATTTTGTTTTTTGAGTTACATTGTTGTAGCAAATGAATGATATGTGATCTGTTTCGAAAGTAATGAGATTGATTTTTAAAACTTATGTTGGCAGCTAGATAAAAAACAAAAATATTTAATTATTTTTAAGTTTAATTCTTCCTAAGCATTGAGATTATGTGCATTTCTGTTCATCAGTTGTATGAAAAGTAATTACAAGATTAGTAAGTGTTTTTTAAAAATCACGAAAATGGAACAGAAGAATGTTAAACGTATATTACGCCATCAAATATTATGTTAAACTCAACGAAATGAAATTAACACTTGAAAAGTTAAGAAACACTTATAAAGGCCTTATACGAGTCTGGTTTGACAATTCGGTCGGGATGGACATGTTTCGGTTCGGTCCAAATATTGCATCATCTTTATAAAATTTTTTTGAAATTTTTTAAGGATACGGAAAGAGGAGGAAACAAATCGGAAAAGGAATAGAAAAAGTAATATAATCTTGAGATAATAAAAGTGAAATAATGGGATTCAAGAGAGGTTGAAGACGCAAATTCACCACCTGGATTAATATATCAAAAACTCTTCGACTAAGCCTTGTCCCGTGACAAGTTTCTCGTCTTTTCGTAAACACTTTATTACTGCCAATGGGAAATTTGGCTTGGCTTCCATAATCTTTTCTTAACTTTTTGTCGCACATTCATTGAATTTAACATAAAATTTGATGGCATAAAGTTGTTCAATAGTTCTTCCATTCCATTTTCATGATGTACTTCCAAAACACTCTGTTACTATGTTTGTACGTTTTACCCAATCTAGTGAACAGAAATGCGCGTCTCAATGTATTTGAGATGAATCAAGCTTAAGTATAATTATTGTATTTGCACCCAACGCTGTCAATATAAGTTTTAAAAGTTTCATTACTCTCGGAATAGGTCACATGGTCACATATGTGTTTGTAACACACACCCCTTTAAGGTAAGTCCACTAATCTACGTAAGTTTATTTTCGCAAAGAAAAAAAATGTCTCGTTGCAACAGTTACAACGTGTTATGCGCCAATTATTATAGGAAATAATAATGGCACTGTTTCTTTCCGAGCTTTGATGCATAAAAAGTTCAAGTAAAAAATGACCAACGGTCAAATATTTTTCTTGACATTCTCGAAAATGCTTAACTATCTTGATTTCAATGTCAATAATATAATCGGATAAAAATACCTTCGAAAAAAATATTGTCAAATAAGCGTTTGTAAAAATGGCACTAAAAAAAAAGATAATAAAAGATTGGAGTGCAGCGCGTTATAATTCTAAGATAAAGTATTGCGCAACTTTCCATTTATCTTTAAATATTAATTAAGAAACCTACCAAAATTTTAGTTTATCTTTTTTTTACTTAATTGTGCAATATATATTGTGCTGTTTTGATTTTAGACCCCGTCCTTTGTCCTACAAAAAATTATGCGCGTTGCGTTCTTACGCCAAAATGAAATCAGAAAAACTAGACGAGATGCGATATTAGTCATTAGTAGGTGGATCCATAGCGCAGATTATAGCTTTCATCACGCTGGCTGCCGCCAGTGCCGCGTAAGGCTGCCATTCTTTGATTCGGGTGCCGTCCTTGTAATCGGCAATTCCGCGGATTACAGCGAAATTCTCGCGGCAATTGCCTAAGATGCTCTCCACGACGGCATCCATCTCGGCATCAAATGCGAGCGCGCCGAATCGAGTCGCGAACTTTTGTCTAAGTTGATCGTCTCGCGCGACTTGCCGACCGGACGCCACTGGCGCTAGATGAATTCGAGAGCATCCATCGGTTCTGCAATGTAATGGAAATATTAATGTATATTTATACATCAAAATGCACACGGCGTGAAACGTTCAATTCACTTTCACTCCGTTACCGTTTATTTATGGAATCTAGAGGAGCGGTTGGATGAGACACTTCGATGACGTCCCTCTCTCCAATAGCCATGTAAAGCTTATCGGATTCTGGTGGTGGCGCGTTAAAATCATGTTCCGATTGATTCACCAGATTCTGCAAACCTTCCTTCATGTACGTCTGCCACGGCGGAAATGTCTCGTTTTCAGCCTGTACAAAAGATAAATATTTCAAATAAGTTTAGCCGTAACACGTGTAAATATTAGGGCTGGCGATTTGTTTCGAAGGCTTCGATATTCGAACTTCGAAGCTTCGAAGTTTCGAATACTACATTTGTGCAAATGATAAATTTATTCAGAAAATTTACAAATATTGTAAATAAATAGAATTAATACATATACGAAATTATTCTTAAAAAATTTGAAAGTATTATAACCTGAAATATTACAAATTAATAATTAAACTTGATACTTGTGCAAATAAAGAAAGATAATGATTAATAAAACAATCCAATTAAGAAAATTCAAATTTTTACTGTATTCTTTAAAACTTCGAAGCTTCGAAGGCTTCGACTTAAACTTCGAAAGGTCGAAGTTAATGTCGAAGCTCCGAATATTCGAAGTGAGTAAAAAGCAACAGCCCTAAAATATCGATCAATATCGATCAAAATCACCTGTTTCTTGAGAGTCGCCGCGATTTCTTGAAGACTGAGATTCGGCGGGCAATATTCCTTGGTCTCAAAATGATAGTTCCCGCTCTCGTTCATTTTGGCACTTTCGCAGTAAACGTAAGCATACTTCTTATTGAGCGGCGTCGGATGCGATATCACCACGTCGCCCAATCGCACGTGTTTATTGTAATCTGTATAATGAGGAACACCACCGCCGACTCCGACGAGAAAGACAAAATCCACCTTTTGGAATGTACCTGCAAATACATTCGAAGGTCATTGTAAGTGACAAGTGTGAATTAAAACAAATGTATCCATTTCATAGACAATTATTTTCTTTACAATCAATTACAACAATTACAAATACGAAATATAATAAATCTGAATTTTAGAAATTATTAAAAAAAAATAATGCGCGTCTTAAAAATATAGTCTGAAACATAAAACAAACATTTCAAAGAAAATACTAAAAGCATACCCAACAATCTAGTAGTAGTATTGCCAGCTGCGGTCATTGCTTCCCTGGTGTGGCCTACAGTTGGCAGTTTAGTGCACACAATCCTATGCGTACCGATATTGCCCAGAGTATATACGTTTGATTCCCCTATAAACAAAACGATGTCCATTCGTTATCGTGTTTTTGTGTTATTTCGAAATTTGTTTCCTTCTATTCTTGATTTGCATATGATACATGTGCAGTGTGCGGCTATCAACAAAATAGAACGGAACCTGTGTTATATGTGACGATAAAATAGGTAACAATCCATTTCATGTAGATGCATCTCTCAAGTCTAGTAATAATACTAGAGCACCAAGTATACAAAATTTTTCGAAAATCTGTATCTGGTATCGTCGAGAAATTTCAGATTGAATACATTTGAATGGATGTTATCAAGAATTAAAATATTCTATTGAAATTTTCGAAAATAGTGTGTTGTCATTGATAAAAAAAAAGAAATAAATTTTTTCGGAAATAAATATTAAAAATTATTATATCATATATATGATAAAAATTAACAAAATAATGTTATGTATAAGAAAAGAAGAAATAAAATTTTTGCCGGAAATAAATATTTAAAATAAAAATTATTATATCACTCATAGATATGATAAAAACTAATAAAATAATGTTATGTATAAAAACCACATAAAATAAACGTAATACAAAACATGGATAAGCTCAACAAAAACATTACACATAACAAAAACAAAGCCGTACAAAACGTTCACAATACGAAACAAAAACTATTATGAAAACATATATCATGTATAATACACAAAATCATTTGTAACATGTGACAAAAAACAATGTGTTTCAAAATGTACGTTTGCAGCATCATTTTGCCCTGCATTGTTCTTCGGTTCGCAAGCAATTGGCAAGCTATGAAATGACATAAAAATGACAGAGTTATGTTACAAACTACGTTACCAAAACGGCATATCACCCGCGGAACTCCGTCTATCGCGTCTGGTGAGCTTGCGGTACCTAAAGTTTCATGCATGATGAAATATCATCCCTATTATCGTTTGAACATTTGCCGCCGATTAGCGAGCAATATATAATAAATCAATAAATTATATTTGCATGGGGGCGGAAAAAGAAATGACTACGTTAACTAGAACGTTAGCAAAAATTTATCGGGTTGGATCGAAATACTTTAGAAACAATCATTTGTAGTAACTTATTAAAAAAAAAAAAACTATAGTTAGGAATAAAAGCAAGAGAATCAACACAATTATTCTAATATTCTAAGAGTTCAGTTACGACTATATGTTTATTAGAAGAATAGAATACGAATTATTAGAAAAATAGAATACGACTATATGTTTAATAGAAGAATAGAAGAGAAATTAGTTTACTTGTCGTAGCATTATTCTAATACAACAGTGTTAATAGCTTTAAGTACATTTTTAGGATTGTCATTCTTGAAGATACAGATCCGTATTTGTTTTACTTTAATCCGTATACTTTTATCAATAAATGCGTTTTGTTATTTCTGAGATTCAACAGTAACGTAAACTACATACTAAAATGCGCATTTATTGATAAGTGAAGTATAAATATGGATCATCACGAAGTGTATTTAAACAATAATAAACAAGAAAAGATCTTACCAACGGTAGTGTAGCGAACAAAGGTTTCCTTGCTTTCAATCAACGAATCCACAGCAAGTTTTTCACAATATTGAGCTGTAATGATAGCTATGGTGGGTTGTTTCGCGCTTGCCATCGTTGGCATCTGCTTTACCACCTGAAAATACATATTTTATAGCATTACGGTGCGTTAATAAAAATTAACTGAAAAAAATTATATTTAAATAATGAATTACTTGAACTTGAGTATCTTCGTGGACAACACGCGTGAAAGCCCCATGATCCATTGCTTTAACAAGCCCTTTCTCTTGAAGCTCTTTTAATTTAGCCTCCACAGCTGACGGCTCCCATCCGTGTTCCCTGAAAACGAAATAAAATCAAAATTTAATTTTATTCAAAACATATTTCCTCGACTTAAATTCTGTTTAATAGGAAATAAATATTGGTTGGAGGAAGGACGGAGGAAACGCGTATTCTGTGGGGAAGGATAAAGATAATAAGGTAAAGATAATCTAGGGCATTATGTAAACGAATGAAAAAAAGTAAAGGAATGGTTTATAGACTTAGGAGAAAATAAGGAAGGAATTGTAGGCAGATTATTAAGGGAGAAACTAGATGAAGACAAAGGTAGGATTTAATGAAACTATGGAAGGAAAGGAAAAAGGAAATAAAAAGAAAAGAAAAAGAGAGGGAGAGAAGTTTAGTGAAAAAAAAGGATAGGAATAAAAATGAAAAAGTAGGAGGAAAATAAAGATAGATAACAGAGCGGCGAATAGATTAAGTAGAAAGCAGGATAAACACCAAAGACAGGTGTAATAAATGTAAATATGGTGAAATGTAAAATGTAAAGAGGTCGGAAATCAGCAAATGTAAATAATATAAAAATAATGTAAAATGTAAAGAGATAGAAGTGTAAGGCGAAAAGATAGAATGTATTTAATAAGAAAGATAGAAGAGTAAAGAATAAGTTAGGAAAAGTATGGAAGGATGAGTGAGGAAAATACTTTTGTAAACCAAGTCTCTTTCTTGGCTAATTTATGTAAAGCTGAAGTAAATAAATTTCTATTCTAATTCTGTTTAATACAATTACTTACTTCGCCATGTCAACCACAGTAACTGGATTCGGATAGGCAGACTCGATAAGCTCCAGAACTTTTTCTACCGTTAGCTCAATCACTTGACCCATGACGGTTTCGTCTGTGGATACTTTTAATAAAAAAAAAAAAAGAAACACTCATTTAATCGTGCAATTAAGTTAACGGACATTGTAGTAAGTTTGTCAGACCTTTAAGCCGCCTATTGTAATTTCAAAATGACAGTTAATAGCATTGAAACAAGAATAACAGCACTCCATAACATATGCAAGTTAAATTTTCTGCCGTGTAGATGAGTGTAAATGAGTCTAAACTCGTGTGTTGGATAGCTTTTCATCTGTCCAAGGTAGAAATGTGTGAAAGTTTCGGAATTAATGTAACTGTAAATAAGTGCGCAATTTAACTAGTCTTTGTTTCTATAGCTAGAATAGTTGAACTAGAATCGTTTAGGTGAAGGGTACAGCTAATATATGTATGTGGGAGTGGAAACTTGAACACATATACATATATGGCAGCTAGTAACCATGAGTAGAAGGTACGTGCTCTACATGGATGCATTTCCTTGCAGAATGAAGACTAAAAGTGGCAATGCCATTGTACTAGTATGGTAATGAATAATCAATTAAAAAGGTAGTTATAATTTAGGACGAGCAAATAAATAAATGATATTTTATGATATGTAGTAGTATGGAATATGCAGCTAACGTATGCATAGCTCTGCTATGAATTTTTATATTTAAAATTAACGTAAGTGAAACAGCATTGACGAAATTAAATTTGAATTAAATAAATTTATGTTACAAATATAATTGATATTTATTGTGTAATCATATATCAGGTTGTTTGTGTGTGTCGGGCTCTAAAATGTCGTATGTAAATGTATGTATAAGTTTTATCTATAATCATGCTGTGAGGGTAGATATGTATATATTATACACCGTGTGTAAGGGAATCCAGGTCAAGTGGTTAAATGAGCTGTTTTTCACACTCTAGTTATGTATCCTCTAGTAATTGATCGCTCGGCTAAACAGATTGGAAAATCCTTTCTTACATAATCAAAGTGCGTAATAATTTTTATAAACCCGTGACATGTTTCATCTTAATTTTAATAAAGAATATAGAAATTATATTTTCTTTTTTTTTTTTTTTTTTTGCTAAATAGAACATCGTAATACGAATCAATGAAATGCAGATCACAATACTAGGCAAACTATGTTAAGTCAATGTTGTTATGGTTACCAGATTATTGTGCCAAGCGACAGAATGTATATATGTAACATCTACTATATAGCAAAGTTGGCAGAGATTCCTTTTCTTTTAATCTAAAAATTATTACATGAAAAAATTTACAAACGTCCTGTCCAGTAATTATTGTGTTACGAGAAAATATATTTATGTGTGTCAGTTTTGTTTGGACTATTAGACTGTGTACGAGAAAAGAAAGAGAATAAACATCAATAAAGTGTGACAAAAATGCTGATTTTTTTTTCATTCTCGAACCTGATCTCCACATAATTTTCTCAGAGGAAGGAAGTGTGAATAGTAAGTGACCAGTAGCTGTGAATAATAGAAATTAAGTATGAAACAGATGTTCAGTACAATGCTCAAATACAATGGTAATTGCGAGTACATAGAATGTTACATGGAAAAACTCGCAATTTCAATTACATAATGGATATATGAGCCACCGGGAGTTTTAAGTCAAGTGTGCATTTCCTTTAGAGTTCAGCTACAGCGTGTACTTGAGATACGTCTAATATCTTTCAATAAAAGACCATTAAACCCAATCAGCTTAATCAAATAACCATTAATCCCCTTCCCCTTGCCCGTAGATTTTTTTTATTTTAACAAGCCAAAGTAGATTATATTTGCGAATGATAATGTATGTAGGAAATATGTAGATTAAATCTGATACATCTTATTATTATGTAATTATGTCTCCGTAGTACATTGATAAAGATAAAACAACTGTTTAAATACTTACATGGCCTGCTCGGTAGGGTGATCGGCTCTTCCAATTGTCTCAATTCCACCTCTAGTTTTTTAATATTGGGATACTTATGTTGCATCAATTTCATTATCTTTTTGATAAACCCGACGTAATCTGCGGAAAATAACAAACACATTGTAAAATGGTTACACAGGAAAAAAATATGAAAACTTATATTACTAAGAGAAATTTATATACGAAAAATGTAACCGATATGCTAAGTTTGACATTCTTCCTTGAACACCATATAGAATTTCACGTTCACCGCTATTTTTACTGCCGACAGTTTAAAATTAGATCTCAGTGTGTTTATAAGAGAACAAAGAAACATCCACTCAGACTCTCCAGTTACATTGGATACATTCGATCTCGAGGATATGCAGTTCTAAGAAACGCGCTCAGTCGGCCGGCCGCCAATCAATCGTATCACATTACGAATATTACGATTTACCTCTCGGAAACTCCTGCGGTGTGACGAGCTCTCTGAAAAATTCTTGCGCGACGCTCGGCTGCTCCGCCTCGGCGAGCCTGTCGACGAACCAGAACTGGAGGGTCCTCTGCTCCTGCGTGTGCTTCCCGGTTTGCGCGCTCACCAGGAACACCCTGAATTGCAGGCACAGCTGGGCGGGATGCACCTCACCGTTTGTCACTGCGACGAATTGGATACAGTTTTAAATATACGATATTTAATCTAGATTGGATTTAATTACAAACATGCCATTAAATTAAAGATATTGCCAATAATCGACTGAGAGGCAAGGATATCGTCATACCGGCCACAGCCTGCTTGTTGATGACAATCCCCTTGTGATCCCCGCCGGCGACGTGGACGTTGTTCTCGTTCCCGTTCTCCGCCGGCGGCTCCAGCGCCTGCCTCTCGATTATCAACGTCGTGGAGTTCGCCGTCTTGCATTTCGGCGTCATAACGATGTGCTCTATCCCGAGGGAGGGGAAAAAAATGCGTGTATCCGTATAGAAAATCCCTTATCTCTTCGTCGTCCTTATCGGCTATCGCGCAAGATAAAATCGGGGAACCGCGTAGCAATTTCGTCAAATTCCTTCGATCACATTTTTCTTTTGTTTTTTTTCCCGATGCAACAATCCGATTCAAAATGTTCGAGACGATGAACAAAATTTGCAAAAAGAAAAAAAAAACACGATTCGATCGCGAAATAATCGTTCCCCGCCCGAATTTTTCTCTCCTCTCTCACTCTCTCTCTCCTCGTGAATTTTTTTTCGGAGTAAGTGCACCGAGAGATCGCGCTTTATCTCTTACCAGTCTTCTCGCTCATCTTCGCGTATGTTTATTCCTTCTTGTCTGGATTGCTATTCCCTCGCAAAAGTGACAGGAAGGCGCACCGAACCAGAACACTTCGTGACGCAACGCCAGGTGTGCGACACCAACCTCCGCTCCGATCGACGAGCGGCCGCTGACTGTCGCCAGTGGCGTCACTTGCGACACCGATTGCACCTTTTCTCTTTTTTTGTTTGTGCGGATCTGCGCAGATCAGCACCCGTGATGTCAGCCACCAGCCAGCGGTGTCAGCTCGTAGCTTTTGCACAACACACTCAAGCAGTCCCACTCCCAACGCACACTGCCAGGTCTGTCCTGCCCAGTATGTGACTGTGGCAGTGCCGGATTTAAAAAAGTGGGGGCCCCTGGACGGCTGAATCAGTGAGGATTCTCTTAAGGGGTTACACTACCCAGGCGCGTCGAAAAAATAAGCTTTTTTTGTGAATTTTTTTCTCGAGTTCTAGGTGGTGGATAAAAAAAAAATTTAGGGCTTTATTACACATATATTAAAGTTCTCAAAAATACTCGCCTGGGTAGTGTAACCCCTTAAAACTTAAATGTAAGACAGGCTAATGAGAGTCACTACGGTTCTTGGTGCCTAAATTTTATGTATTAGAACATTAAATTACACTAAAAATATACATTATACGAATGTTTCGACTCATTTAGAGTCATCTTCAGCTAATAATATCATAATGTGAGCGGTGAATGATCCCCGTTACTGATAGAACGAGTCACTGTTAGCTGTCTGTTTCGAAGCGGAATCTTTAATATATAAGAGAGAAACAATCTCAGATTGATTGTTTCTCCTAAAAGTATGTGTAAAATATAATTCTGACTATTATTTAAGGAATTATTTTAGAAATTTTGACTCACCCCAGTCGGAACGAGAATCTTCATGAAACTTTGGAGATAAAACAATGCAAGCAAACAAGACGCATGGCCGTTGACAATTTAAAACTTATACGAAATACGTGGCTGTATGATCGCCGACAATTTAGAATTTACAAAATGCGTAGTATCAGTAGTGCGACTTAAAGTGTGTCTGATTGTAAATTATATTATTGTAACGTAATGTAATCTATATAATTCACGAAGCCTAATCACTCATCACACTCCGGAACAAGTCGGTTATAATAAAAAATTCGCAGTGATTGTATTACGAATACACCTTGTCATGTATAATGACGCGTACTAAATGTGAGCAGTAACGTATTATAAAATGTTCGGTCATGATAGATAAGTATAAATATAAGAATAAATATAAAAATAAAAACATTGTTAGTCATAACGTTAAGTAAAATTATAAGTACGAAAAAAGGATAAAAATAAAAATAATGTCAAAAGAGACTCATGCGCAAACGATATATCTACATTACTATTTAAATTTCTAAAATCGAGGCATATGCGTGATGTAAATATTCCGTGTCAGATTGCAAGTTAATACTACCTTTCTGAAGTGTGATGTGTAACAGAAATTATTTTTCTGCTATAGAATCTTTCTGTGTCTAAAATCTCGACATTCCCCCAGTCGAAGTCATGATCGAAACTCAGTCTATGTTCAGTGACTACCGAATGTGTGCTACTTTTACGATTGATATCATTCCTGTGTTCAAAAGTTCTGGTTTTAACTTATTTCTTCGTCTGGCCGACATAAATTGCTTCGCAATCTTTGCACGATATTTTATGGTCTACGTTCTTTCTCATGTCCCCCGGAAGTCTTTATGAGATCTTACTATCCATCTAATTTATCGACACTAAAAACGCTAGTTTAGCTTCTAAGTTCTTTGCTATACTAATGAATGTTTCTGAAATATCAGAATTGTGAACCATTTAACTTTTGTGTCTGTTACAGATGTATTAATGTCCGAGTCTTTTTAGTCGGTTTGTTAAAAAGTGATCTTATTCTTGTATTCACAGTGTCCATAATAAAACGTAATGGATATTTGTTCTTTAACAAAGTTAAATTCTTAATAACGAATTCTAAATTCTTTTTATGGAATTTAGGCTCCGACAGGGAAACCACTGTATCTATTGCTCCCATAATCATTGCTCTTTCCTGTGACATGGGATGTGATGACATGTGATTCACCTTTCGGAAAAAGTTGGTTTATGAAACCAATCAAATTCTATACCTTTCTTGCTTTTAATGATGGTGACATTCAGAAAATTTGTCTCTACCTCTTTCAAACGTAAATTGTAGCCTGAGATGTAAGGAATTGAAAATATTATGTATAGTTTCTATGTGGTCTTTATGGACGGCCAAAGCTATGTCGTCCACGTATCGAAAATAGAAAGGTACTTCAATTCCATATATCGATAACGTCCTTTCTTCTAAATCCCGCAATACAAGATCCCCTACGGGGATGACAGCGATGAGCCCATTGGCGTTCCGAACTTTCGTCTCTAGATTCTGTCATCGAATTTAAAAAACGTGGAATTTAAAACTAAATTTAACTCTTTAATAAATTCCGATTTCCGGATACCGCATTTCTTTGTAATAAACTTCCATCTTTTTATTACACTCTCAATTGCCAAATCTAATGGGAT